GTCGTTCCAAACCTGTATGAATTTCTTTCTTATGTTGAACATAGAAGATATTTTGAAGAACCAAACAGTTGATGGTCCCCACTGACTTCCACAGTATTTCTTTCCCTTCTATGGAAGTCAGTGGGGACCATCAACTGTTTGGTTCTTCAAAATATCTTCTATGTTCAACATAAGAAAGAAATTCATACAGGTTTGGAACGACACGAGGGTGAGTGATTGATGACAATTTAAATTTTTGGGTGAACTATTGCTTTAAGGTGCAATTCCTAACCCTTTGGTGCTAGCATGGAAATCGAAAATGACTTAAATGTTTTGTTTTGTTTTGTTTTTTCATTGAAATTAATGTATTATATATTATTTCGATAATGTTTTTTATTTACTATTTTGTATTTTTAGGGGATTTTATGGTACTTAATTATATTTATATAATAGTTATGATCCATGTATTTACCTGTTAAGAACTTCTGGAGCACAAATATGAAAATTAAATATCTAACAGGCAAATCTTGAATGCTTTAGAGCACATACAATTTATTTATTTATTAGTTTATTTTTAAAGCAGACACTTGGCAGATTATTGCTGAAGTGAAAAACGTTTAAAAAGTGAAATAAAAAAAAGAAGTTTATTATTATTATTATTATGAAAAATGAACTAAAATATTTTTACTATTTATAACTTTATGAGAAGTATATTTATTCCAAAAAGTGTTTTACCCTAAAACTGTGTGAAAACCAAAGCCATAAATCTAAACAAGTTGTGTTCCAAATCTGAGGCTGATATCTCAAAACACCAGCTTTCTGTAAGATTTTGTTCTGGCGCAGTACCAAACATTTCCACTAGAGCTGTGTGATTCACTTCCTATTCATTTCCATTGCCTTCATTTTTAACCACTATTAGTATGTGACTATTTTTATCTGGCCTATTTAACCTTTAATAATGTCCATACTTTTTGTGTTGTGCCAAAACCTTTACCAAGTTTCATATCATTCTGATGGGTTTAAGAAATTATTTTTAAAAAATAAAATATTTTTGGCCAAAAATGACTGAACAGCACCACAGGAATCCGTGTATCATTCGATCATTCGTTTTTTGATTTAATATTGGAAGTAGAAAAATTAGAAAACGGCTCCTTTTTCGTATTTTAGTTTTTTTCCAAAACACGAAAAACGAGAATTCAGCTTAAATTTTCATCGAGGGGACATAACTTAATACTCTGTCATTTATAGTCGTATGGTAAAATGTATACTTGTAATTGTGTAACGTTACGTTCAAAATAACTACAAAATGTCATGCCTTTGAAAAATAAAGAGAACAACAGAATGCGCTGCTTTAGCGCGTCTCGGTTTCCTTGAGCATCTTTCTGGCACATGCCCCAAACATGAACCACAGCGAATACTTGTCTTTTAAAAGGCTTCATTTAGATTATTTTACGTTAAATGCATCATATAAGTCACTTTTGGAATAAATCACAGTAGGCCTATGTATCATGATAAAAAAAAAGCGACTTTACAGTCTGGAAATACTTTAGGCTATAGCAAATTATTTCTCGGACCCCCTATCACTTTAAGAACCACTGGTCTACACAGAAGAAAGCCCTGTCTAGACTCTGCCCCTGT